ACAGGGCCACAACGCTGTCCCTCAGTTGTTCAGTGTTCCTGGAGAAAAAAGGGAACCCTTTTTGGGGAAGACCATTTTTATTAAGCAGCCACCAACAAGCGTGCCACTGAACAACTGAGTTTCTGTTGGTTTCCCCTTTGGCCAACCTGAAAAACCAAACCCACCTTAAAGCCGCCTGAACTAAAGCCCTATAAAACCACACTAAACCAGCCTTAAACCCACTTGGCCAGGACGGGTTCCGAGCTTTCAGGGAGGGCTCCGGAGGAGTTCCAAGTTCCGAAGTCCCGGGCCTGTCGGGGATACCTGGGTTTGTTTGTTCCAAACGCATCAGGAACTCGAGCGAGGTTCCCTACAAAACATGTGGATGGACAACATCCACAATCGAAGGGTACCAGCTGCCAGGTGGTTTATCAACCAGTTTTCATAGTGTTTCATCCATCCCAAGTGCAGGAGTGTCACCCACAGCATTACAAGGTGAAGGCGGAACGAAACAAAAAACACACATGGTGGCGAGACTCACGAATCACCATGCACCATATTTCATGAGACCCCCCCCCAAAGAAACAATAGTGTTTTGTTCCTTAGGGCGTCCCTTCAAACCCCCACAAAACATGGGGCGCCGAGCCTCAACACCACGAGCGCCTGAGCGCCGCCCATTTTTGAGCCCGACCAAACCCCATCGCCGGCGCCGCTCGGCGGCTCCTGGGTGCCGGTGGCGATCTTCGAGCCCACCACGCTGCATGCCGTGAGCCTCTCGGGCGCCCGGAACGTTCGCAGCGCCTTCGCCTCCGAGGCCATGCGGCAATTGGCGCCCGGCGCCCGGCGCCGGAGCGGATTCGTGGGGTGGTGGGCTTTTGGCTGGGCGCTTTTGGCTGGGTCCCAGCTGAAGATTTCATGAGTTTTGTGTGTTCTAGATTTGGTGGCGTCCAAATGGTGAGTTGGAGCAACCCCGGAAATGTAGAAGCAGTCCATTGCCGACCTTTAGTCTACCAAAGATTGAAAGCTGGAGCTGGTTGGTTCCAGCCAGAGAGTGGAAATGTTCGAGTTTCCGGTTGGGCTTCCGAATCTAATTCCTCCTTGCGGGGTTCTTCGGAGTTCCGACTTGTAAACGTCACCGGCAACTGAAACTTGATAGATGCTCAACACGCAAGGGAGAACAGCTGCTTCCCGAAAGTTGGGACACTTGCGGTTGGTTTCCTCTTGGTTTCCAGTTGATCCCGAAAAATCCGCTCAAATAGAAGCAAGCCCCTGACCCTCATAGGCGCAGCGCCCGTTGAGCCAAATGCGCCGGAGTTGCAACCATGCAGCAAGTGACCGCTTTGAGAGACAGAAGAAATGGCTTTCGCTTTCCATAATGTTCCTGTTGGTTGCCCGTTTATCCAACTTGAAAAGATATCAAACAATGACACCACTACATAATGCCTTACATATTCCATATTCGCGCAGTCTACATTCGCGAGATTGCATATAAACATATGTTGGTACTCCCTGCCTCAAATCATCACCACACCCATCTTCAACCCAAAGGTTGTTCCCTTTCCGAACTGACGGACCCACAAACAAACTCCAACCCTCACTCCCACTAGCATAGCGAGGTCCTAAGAGCAAAATGATCTTCCAGGTAGTTTCTTACAATGGCTTTCCCAAAAGGATAGCGTCGAGAAATCTGGATTGGGCCCTAAACAGCTTGGAAGTGACGCATGGGCCTTTTAACTAGGCTGGAATTAGGACCCCAGCAAAAAATATGTTTTTGCTGATTAGTGGAAAACAGAGGGACCCCAAAAAAGCAAAACATCAAAAAGGGGAGCCAATTCTGGGGAAGTTGAAAAGGGAGGAACAACGGGTTCCGAGATATCCAAAATCCGCTGCATCCTCCGAAACCTGCCGGCCAAAAAAGTGACGGGCACCAGTTGGGATTGCTAGAGGTTCTGCCATGGCTCACTTTGCCTTCCATTTGGTTAAGACCCCTGGAAAAAAAAAACATGTCCAGTAGTCATAGATTCCCTCTAGAACCAACAGGGGAAAATACAAATAAAAAATCTTAAGCAAATGGAAGTATTGTGGAGGAATAAGGGCAAAACCAAAAGGTCAAGAGATCGGCTTTGAACCACTGAGATGGACTAGCCAACGGGACTCGCTCATGTTTCTGCTGCTGGCGCGCATTGGAGTGAACTTTGCCTCGAGAAAATCTGTACCAGCTCGCGCTCAGAGTCTGACTGACCCGCTAGGTCAGCTATTCCTCGGTCTCGCTCCCCGTTCTAGCACCATGGTGATGTATCAACACCCGGCAACCTCTACCACCCTCTTAAGAACTACACTATACTACATAGCACCTGTGGGGGGAAAGCGCCTGAAAAAGAAAAAAACTGTTAAACATAAAGTCCTCGCTCAGGTGCCATGTGACTGCAAGGAGGGCAACAGAACCAACATACATCTCCAAACATTTCAAAATCTTTCGGCACCTGCTGAAATTCCATTCGAAAGGATGTGCTTCCTCATGTGCCTTGCCTGTGCAAGATCCAACTGAGAACGGACTGAAACATGGACGAACAACTCCCAGGATGTTTCAAGTGCCCGGTCTTGACACATACTCACCTGGCACTGGGGCACGCGCCACGTCGGAAGAGGTGGTTGTTCCTTGGGGCAGAAGCAGCATCGGCGGGATCCGGACTCGCCTGATGGGTTCTCCCAACTGCGGCTTCAGTTTCAGCCGTCTTTGCCACTCTCAAGACATGCAAAGGCTCACTTCCTGAGTGCATTGGCCCAAAAACAAATGAACTTTTTATTCACCACCAACATGGTCCAAACTCAACAAGTTTAAAGTCCGAAACGGACCTCGGGACGTGATACTTTGGACCACAGCTCTTGGCGCACGGCGTGGGAAGCGTTCTCAAGACCCAAAGCGGAAGGCCCGACCCGAAGCCCCCGGAAACCACGAAAACTCACAAGGGTTCCTTCCCAAACCTTTGTTGCTCATTTGCCGGAAACAAAAGGTGATCACCTTTCGATCCCACTACGAATCAATCAAAATGGGGAAGCCAAAAGGTCAGAAGGTTGGCTTTGGGCAACTGAGGGCATCGTTGCAAAACAACTGACCGATTTTTGCAGCCCCCTACTAAACATGAACAGAGCCAAATAATAGAACCACAACACAAAAAGCCGCTTGCGAAGAACAGTGAAAGTTCTTGTGAGCTGAGAGAAACCGCCCTGAGAGCCGCACGCGTCTTGGTTCGCATGGTGCACCTCACCCGCAAATGCTGAGTCAGGCACAGGCGGGATCGAGTTTCACTCATCAGTCCAGGGGAGCTTGTACATACCCCTTTTACATACCCCTTGGACAAATGTAAACCCCTTATACTAGTAGTCGGGGGCCTCGCCTGGCAAATAAATTGCTTCATACATACACCCCCCCCTACATTTTTTTTCATCTTCCATCTTCTACCCTTATTTGTTTTCATCATTTTTCTACATTCCTTTCTGTCCATCTCATCCGTTTTTGTATCATCATTTTTCCAAAATTTTCGCCATCCTTTTCTCCTTTCTCCTCGCCTCATTCATTTCACCAACTACCCTCCAAAATGTCATTTCCTCAATCTCCTCGCCTCATCCATTTCAAAAAAATAAATTTTGCAAAATATATTGCAAAAAATATTTGTCATCAAAAAAAAATCGAACTGTCTAAAAACGATTTGTCCATTTCTCGGACAAAAAATAGAACAGCAACAACATCACTCCCTCCTTCGTTTCATCAGTTTCATCATATATTTTTTTGGGGCGTGGCGATCCTTGTAGGATTTTATTGGGTTTTATGGTGTGGGGTGTCAACCGTCGGCGCCGCTCACTTGCCACGTCTTCATCTTCTACCGCATTCCAGAGGCGGGGCGGAGGTTATGGGATGGGGGCAAAATCGGTGATGTCCACCCCAAAATCGGTGATGTCCACCCCAAAATCTGTGATGTCCACCCCAAAATCGGTGAGGTCCACCCCAACATCGGTGATTTCAACCGTGAAAGTGGCACATTCGGCAATAGGTTCGCACAGACCCAGATGATGGAAAAAATGCGTTTTGTCCTAGCACCGTCAGCATTTTTGACCAAGCAGTTTTAAGCTTTTTGTGGGACACCCGACGCCGTGCCAGGTTGATGAGCGAGCACGACAAGCTTGGGTGCGCCCCCTTTTGACCGGGGGGGCAGGGCGGGCTGGCTTGGGTTTTGGGTTTGCTGGTGGGTCCCTCCCTCTCCGTTTTGTTTTTTCCTGCGCAGGTATCTTCATCGTCTTCTTCGCCTACGAGACCGAGCCCTACTAGGTAAGGACTTGGCCGGGAGGGCTTTTTTTCTGGGGCGGGGTATATATATAATATATAAGGGGGAACTCTCGCCAATTTTTTTGTGCCCTGTTTGGCAACTGGTGGGAGTTTCCTGATATATCTATATGAATATTGGCGTTTTCTAAATTTGATAAACTATGGATTATCCCCTTAAAAATTAATATTTTCATTTTTTTAGAATTCCATTTTTTACTGTGTTGTCGTTGGATGAACCTAGAAATTTCAAGTTTCAAACCCAACCCCAAACTCAAAATCCTTAATCCGTCAAACTCACTAAGATTTCACAAATTAATTCGCTAGGTATTTTGTATAAATCTTCCTGTTTATGTATTATTGGATTGTCGCCCCATTGTTCCTTGTTTCCACTTGGCAAACGTTGCGCAGTTTCAATATGTTTATTATTCCTGATGTTACCACAATCCTTTTTACATAATTCTCTAGGTTTCCAAGTTGTAATGTTATTCCATAGCCTAGTCCTCTTTCTATAATTAAATCCATATTTACAATAATCAACATCTTTAAAATCAAACTCATCCATAAACTCCTGATGTTTTAATAATCCAGTTTGTGGATTTTCGATTACAAAATATTTAGGATTGAAATATTTGATAATCTCAATAGTTTTTAAGACAATACTATTTGCATATTCGATATCCCTAATTCCCCTAGTTTTTGCTACGCTGTATTCAGTGCATGGGGGACTACTCCAAATAAAATCAAAATGGTTCCTATCAAATTGTTTATAATCCCATTTCAAAATCTCAGTATTTATATCAGCATTTTTCAAGTCTAATGATATCACATTAAATCCAAGCGACTTTGCTATGGTTCCGACGCTTTTTGTTCCGCTAAATAATTCTAATAAATTCATTTATTAGAATTATTTAGATATTAATTATTCAAATAATACATATACTCCATCATCATTTATTGAAATTTTATAAAATTCTAATGTTTGTTGCTTTGGTTGTTTGATTTTTCCTGTATTCAACATATCACAGTATTTCTTTTGCTTTGTAGGGTAGTCGCCCGATGGCCTTCCTATAGATTTTGCTTGAAATATTTTGTCAATCTTCTCCTTCTCTTCGTTGCTTTGTTGCTCGCGTTCAACTGGTTTCATTTTGTCATCAATGGATTTAATCATATCATTTAAGTTTTTGATATTTTTACTAATTCATGTTATCTTCTTCATTAAATCATTAATAGTATAATTTTCATTTTCAGACATTACTATATATTTATTTAGATATTTATTTATTTAATTATATATTTTTCATCATTTGTTTAACAGTTTCCTGTGTTTCGTTTTCATTATTATCGGATGGTGTTGCTTGCCTACCAAATTTAAAAGTTATATTATGGACATCAGTTTCTAAGTTGATACTGTCTTTAGTTTTATCAATATTCATTTTCTTATCGTTTTTACTTATTTTGAAACTTGTTGGAATACATGAACATTTACAATTTCCCTTTCTTTGTATTTCTAACTCATTTTTAAGTTCTAACATCTTTTTGCACATAGGACAAGCA